AGTCCATGCGGCACTGTAATTAAACAAAAATAAAATAGAAGATTCTTAAAAAAAAAAAAAACAGCAGGGTTTCCCACATAGGTGTATACAGCTGATCCTCAGACCAACCTGGCAGAGCCATGCTCTTTCTCTGTGAGCCATGCTCTCTGTCCAGTCGTCCCCTCCTATTTCTTGTCTAGTGGCAACAGCCCCACGCTCTTTGCATCTGGGAAACCCCGCTTCCCCCACCTACAGCAGGCATACCCCCCGCAGTTCCCGGAGCTGGCTCTGAGGCTTACCCAGCATCTGCTTGAGCTTGTCTGAGTAGTCGGGCTGTTTCAGCAACTCCTCTGAAGGGTGGCTATTCGGACTGCCCTGCGAGGATGGAAAAGGAGAGAGTTAAGAGACTGAGCATGCCGATCAAGAGAAAGCCAGTATTTAGAGGTCAGAGGAAGACAAAGAGCTGGGGTAAGGCAGGCAGAACGGACAGGAGGTTGAGGTAGGAGGATCAAGAGTTCTAGCCCAGCCTGGGATACATAGTCAAATCTTCTCTCTAATAAAGAACTCAACACCCTCAAGTTCCCTAAACAAAAACACCCAACAACCAAACTGGGGTAAAAAAAGTAGGAGACAGAACACAAAGGTGACATGGGGAGGCTCACTGAAGACAGTGCCTACCATGATGGAGGTCAGGATCTCCTGCACGTTGATGCCTCCTCCTCCAGGGCCCTGGGGGCTCTTCCCAGCTCCCATGCTTCCCATAAGATTGGCCAGTACTGGAGGCAGCTTGGAGCCTCCTGCCCCGTCAGGTGAGCCACCAGCCCCTCCAGGCTCCAGGGTCTCAACATAAGGTGCCTCATCCATGGCACACTCCTAAGAACAGGAGACAGAAATCATCACTATGGAGAACACAGAAGCAACTGTCTTCAAAGGAAAGACCACTGGTCTCAGTACCCATCACCCACCACCACCATGAACCACTTACCTCATCTAGGGGGATGAGTTTCGGGGGTATGGGCTCGTAGGGTTCAGGGTCAGGCTCGTGAGGACTACCAGGAACACCGGTGGTAAGGGAGAAGAAGGAGGACAGTCAAATGGTTAATTGGGGCCTTCAAAGTCCTTCTGGACCCTACCCTCCTAAGACCTCAGGGCACGTTCCGGAGCACTCCAGAGTGTTCACACCTCAGGCACAGTGCTCTGCTCACCTTTCCTTGTTCAGGAAAAGCTCCTGAAGGATCCCTTTCTCCCGCTCAGCCTGGATGTATCGTTCTTGGCTGTTGCTTCCAGGGGTGACTAGAGGTGATGGCAGGACCAGAGGCCGGGGACACACCCAGGGCACCTTCTCCTCCATGTTGTCATGGCTTAGTCGCCGGGCTGTCTCAAATGCATGTCGGTCTGACAGTATCTCACGCTTAGCGGCTTCACCAAAGTCCTTGATCTTATTCACATTCACTATGGCAAGGAAGGGAGAAAACCAAGGAAGGTAAGCATAAGCTTGCCTGCTCAACTCCCCAGACACACGCAGCATACAGGAAAGCAGGCCTCGTACCTCGTTCAGTTTCATCCAGTTCAAAGTAGAAGTACTCGCGCAGCTTGCCCTCCTCAGGCCACGTCACAGTTTTCCTCTTCTTACCCTTCCGGGTCAGCTGGCTGGGATCTCCAGGGCTCTCCACAGGCTTTGTGTCCAGAGCTCCTGGCTCTGAAGAGGCTGTAAGCAAGACAAGTTTCAGACCCAGATCCTGCCCTTCAGGAAACCCGAGACCCTGCTAGTATCTAGGTGCCTACCTGTATCCATGAGCTCTGGGACTTCAACAGGAGGCACCGGGGTGCCTGGACGGTCTGCGTCCATAGGCTCAGAAGGAGGTGCTGGCTCTGGGGAAGAAGGTTTGGCCATGCTCGGTTCAGTGCTTGTTTTCCCTTCAAAAGGGCTGGGCTATTATGAAAGACAAAGGCGCTAATGAGCTGACAGGAGGCCCACGGCAATGGGTTCAGGATCCGAGATGCTTAATGCAAACTCCACCTCTAACATGGTCCCACCCCCACCTACACATCCAAGACCAAACTTATGCTATTGCCTGCAACAACTCTGGCTACTCAGCCCTTCCCTCGCCTGCCGTGTACCCTGCCACAGACACACTTCTAGTGGCTCATACCTTGGCAGCAGTAGGTGACAGAACCTTCTTCTTCTTCTTAATTTTGATGCCTGGGACAGGGGCTGAATTGAGAGCATCCAGAAAACCCAGACCCTCCATAGCTACAAAGGGAAGAGTGGAATCAATTATCAAACCAACCTCACAATTCTATTCCTGCAGAATTCAGAAAATGTCGGTGGAGACCCTGCCTCGACTTAAGACACAGTGACCAGGAAGCTCAAGCAGGTTCACACAGGAAACTCTTGTCATTCCATCTTTCTTTGGGCAGGAAGTCCTGACTGGAGAGCAACTACAGGGCACACAGCTCATTAAGCCAGTTCCTGCCAGCACCACAGAGGGTCTCCAAGTGGGCAACTAAAGACAAGCCACTAGAGGGCACACACTCCTGCACATCATCTAACAGGGTTCCTGTGGAAGGGGGAGGTTCCCGAGGTGGAAAAACCCAGGGGTTCCAAGACAGCAAAAGCGAAGGGAAGCAGCAAGAAGACCCTCCGTGCCCGTCCCTCAGTCCCTCGCCAAGGCACCCGATCACTCACGCTGTGGGGGGATGATCTTCACTTTGATCTCTTTGGTGGCATTGGGGGTGGTGTTGAGGGGCTTGTACTTCTTCTCTGCGGGTGGCGCAGCATCTCCGGGAGCAGCTGTGGTGCTGCAGAACAGACAGTCAACAACACCTGCAACTCGTCCCTTCTCCCCAAAGACCCCTCAGTAGCCCCAGTCGCTACCTCTGCCGCTTGAGGGGGATGGGCTTCAGGTTGTACTTGTCCGACACCACCACAGTGCTGGCGTTCTTCTTCACGGGCACCAACGATGGGGTGTCCAGCTCTAGTCCTGGGAAGAAACATGGTGTTGGCAGTTCAGCTCTGCATGCCCCCCGCATCTCCCTCTGACCACCCCGATGGTCTAGCCTTGGACAAGCCTCAGCTTCTTCATTCCCCAAGGACTTTGATAGCACAATCAGACGACCAGCAGGAGGAACCCACGGCCCTGCAAGGGCAGCCAAGTGCCTTACCAGTGGAACGGAACTTGGCATGACTGGGTGCTGTGGTTCGAAGTGACTTGGGCTTCTCTTTCTTCTTCTCTGGGGCCTCCTCAGCCCGGGGCTCAGCCTTCCCTTCAGTTACTGGTCGCTCAGGAAGGGGGGTTCGACTTTTCCCCTCTTCTTTCCTCTTCTTCTTATCTTTCTCTGTCACAGAAAAACAGAACTGTCAGAGGCGAGAAAGCAGCCCAGGGGCACCGAAAGGGCTATGCTCCAGCAGGAAAGACAGACAGAGCAGGGATGTGGTGCCAAGGAGCTCACCTGCGGGCTGGGTGCTGCTTTGGGAGCGGATGACGGCCATCCAGTCGCTGACAAGAACCGAGGCCAGTTTTCGGAGCTCTGCAAGTGAGAAAAGGAAACAATTATTTAACTTGGTAATAATTTAACAATTCCAGTAGTAGAAAATGGGATGTTTGATAACATATTCTGTCAAAATCTGTTCAATGGAAAACAACCCAAATTTTTCTTTTTTAATTTTTTATTATTTTTATTTTATGTGCATGTGTGTATTGCCTGCATGTAAGTAAGTGCAGCACCGTGTTGTGCAATGCTCGTGGAGGACAGGAGAGGCTGTCAGATCCCCTGGAACTAGTTACAGACATGTGTCAGCTGCCATGTGGGTGCTGGGATTCGAACTCGGGTCTTTTACAAGAACGGTCAGTGTTCTTAACTGGTGAGCCATCTCTCCAGCCCCAGAACCCAAAGTTTTAAGAACATGAGATGGGCTTTTGGGCCTTAAAAAAAATTTTTTTTAATTAAATAATTTCTAGGCAGCATTTTTCCCCCTAGATGGCTGTTAGATGTTAGGGATGACTCCAACTAACCGTGGGAAGGTGTAACGAGAATTTACAAACAGGCCAAGAACTTACAAACAGGCCGTTACCCAGAGAACAAAAGGTGTCTGAGAGTGTGGGGGTTGAACTCAGTTTTTGATCTATGGGAGCTTGTCAAGCCTGTCCTTTCGCACTCCCACCTCTTCTCTCTGGCACCGCCTTCTTGCCAACATTTCCACTTCTGCCAAGCATGAAGACCTAGCTGTCCAGGACAGCCATGTAATCAATAGGTCCCTTCTGATCCAGCACTAAATGAGCCCCATGCAGCCCCGGGGCAGGAAGATCTTAAAACCATTCTAGAGCAGCTAGTGGCAGGAATCCAGTGAGACTGAAGTGCAGTGACAAGGAATATACGTCGTTAATGATCTAAAGGAATTACAGTAAAGAAATCTACATTCACAGAAGGCAGCACTATCAAGCCAGCTGGAAACAGGTGACAATAACCCAACAGTTAAGAGACAAGTGTTAATGAGATGCTGTATGTGACCTATTGTTCTACAAATTACTACTAAAGATTTCTGATATATCATGAGAACTATAAAATGCTCACTACCTAAAAGAACCTAAAAACAGGATCAATATAACTAAAGAATGGAAAGCCAGGGCTACATAGTGAAACTGTCTCAATAAAAAGGGGTGCTGGTTACTAAACTGGGTGTTGTGGCTCATTCCTGTAATCCCAGCACTCAGGAAGCTAAGTCACGAAGGTCATCTGGGGCTACATAGGAAGACCCTGTCTCAAAAGAGCCAGAACAAAAGAATGTGCCACCATCAGAAATACACCCTATAGAAATGTCTCTTGTAGACATACGCAACGTACAGAAGTAAGTTTCATCTGGAACTGAGAATAATAGGATCAAGTCAAAGGACTTAGAAAAAGTCTGCTAAAAGCGAAGACAGAGCTGACTGGTAGCACAGCTTTTCTAACCCAGCCTTAGGAGGCTGAGGTAGGAGGACTATACAAGTTTTAGGGATAGCCTGGGCTACACAGAGGTGCTGCATAAAAAGGGAGGGAGGGGACAGGAAGGAGGTGAAGGCAGCAGTAAAAGGCAACCCAGCAAAGGGGACGAGAAGGAAGGCCATAGTATCGAGGTGGTGGTGCACAGCCCCCTGGCACCCACCTTCATCCTCACTGGACTTGCTCAGCTGCTTCACCAGTTTGGCTGTGTTGTTCTATAGGCAGAAAGGAGCAGAGGAGTCAGTCCTGCTAACCATCTTCCCCCCACGCTCCGCCCCTTGATGACACTGCCAGCACAGGTAAACCTTTCACAAATCCTCCGTAGATACATGCTTTCCTGATCCTAGGAGGGCTAGGGATTTAGCTCAGTGGGCAGAGTGCTCTATTAGAAAGACCCAGTTAGAAGCCTTTAAAGGTGCACGCCTTTAATCCCAGCACTGGGAGGCAGAGGCAGAGGCAGATCTCTGGGAGTTCATAGGCCAGCCTGGTCTACGGTCTAAGTAGTGAGTTCCAGGTCAGCTGTCTCAAAAAGACCAAAAAATAAAAATAGAAAGTCCCAGTTAGGAAGGCCCAATTGTTCCTACTTTAGAGATGAAAAACTGAGGCTCAGACATACGAGGGATCCCAGGTTACACACCTACTACAGGAGATAAGTTCACACTACATCTTCTGAGCACAAATTTGCAAAGTTCCATTTTCTCTACTGTTCTACTTCACGAACCCTCACAGATGCCACACTGCCTCCCATGAGAATTGGTATGAGCTTTTCATTGATTAGGCTAACCTAAATAGAAGAACCCAGGCGTGAAGCCTGGAGGTACCTGCTTGAGATGGTCCACAGTGAGTGGGAGGTGCTGCAGGGTCAGCAGGATCTGCTGCAGGAGAGGAATGTTGTTGGTTGTCTTTGAATATGTCAGCCAGTTGTTCAGAAGCTTGTAGCCACCTACATCAATAAACCTGAAGGCAGGTGGGAACAAACTGTTAGTGCCTTTCCCGGGTTTTGGAACTGCCATGGCCCACATGTCTGGTCCCCTATCCATAACTCAGAAACCCCACACTGCTTGTCCCCGCCTTCTAAAGTCACCCTCCTAATCCAAGCACCTTGATGCCACTTACTTGACCAGCACTTCCGGTGCGCGGGTCTGCAGCACAATGTTCAAGTACGTGCACCGACTTACCATCTTCCGTGCTTCCTTCATCAGGCTGAAAGAGAGGAGCTGAGTTACAAATGGACCAGGCCCTGAGTTTTTGTTTTTTTAATATGTTTATTATTTTTATTTTATGTGTATGAGCGTACTGCCTGCATGTATGTGAGTGCACCCAAGTCATGCAATGCCACAGAGGTCAGAAGAGGGTTTTGGATTCCCCTGGAACTGGAGTTAAAGATGGTTCGTAGCCGCCACGTGGGTGCTGGGAATCAAACCTGGGTTCTCTGCAAGAGCAGTCAATGCTTTTAACCGCTGAGCCATCTCTCCAGGGCTCTGAGTTTTTAAAAAATATTTTATTATTTTTATTTTATGGGTATGAGTGTATTGCCTGAATGTAAGCGCACCCATGTCGTGAAAGGCCCAAGGAGGTCAGAAGGGAGTGTCCAATCCCCTGGAACTGGAGTTACAAACAATTGTTAGCTGGTTAGGTGGGTGCTGGGATCCAAACCTGGGTTATCCGCAAGAGTAGCCAGTGCTCTTAACCACTGAGCTTTCTCTCCAGCCCCTAGGCTCTGCTTTTATTAAGCTGAGTTTGGGGAGGCAGGTTCTATGATGCCCAGCTAGCCTCCCCAGTGATGGGATGGCAGGTTTGAGAACCACAACGCTAGCGTGTCTCCTTTTATTGAAGAAGAATCTAATCTGTGGGGCACTGGAGCCTCCAGAGGGGGAGTGAAGAGGCCTAGGAGGGTGGGACGTCTAAAATGACATGGAAACCCTGGGGAGAACAAGACAGCTGAGCCTCTGAGGGCTCCCATCTAGGAGAAGAGAGCATCCTCCTGGCCCAGCACACAGGAACCACAGGGCTCTGCCTCCACATGGAGTCCAGTCCTCAAATTTTCGGTTGGAATCTAGGAATGGCTTGGTTACTTTTCCCTAGAAAACTTGAGGATCTCTGAAGGAAAATTATGTTTTCTTAAGCAGAACATGTCCACACAGAACCAAAAACTGTCACCAGGGTCCCCTGCTTTCACCCCAGTGTGGTTCCCTTGGGACTGTGGGTCAAATCCCCAGCTCCCATGAGACGAGAAACCAAGGGACCACCTCCTCTGGCCCTGGTCCTTCCTTCCCAGTCACTTTCCTCTCAGCTTCTTCTACTCAGAGAACCAAGGGCAGACTCACCTGAAGATCTTGGCAATCCCCTCCACACTCTTCACTTCCCCATCTCGAGTAAGGAAGCTGTCCAGGCCCTTGAGAAGTTCTTTGGGGTCTATGGGACCTGAACCCATGATGGTGGTTTCTGAGACAAAACAAAACAAAACCCACAGAATAAATGGGTGGCAATAGCCCCTCACTCAGTCCCTACCATTCCCAAGAAAAGGCAGTGACAAATTCATCTATGTTCACCATTTTCTAATCAACTCGATAAGCTATAGGGGCTGCCAGCCCTGGTAAGGTATGTATGGTGTTAGTACATGACTAAACAAGACAATTCAAGGGCAGGGTCTGGGAGGCCACCTCACTCCTGGTTAAACCCTTTCTAGGACAGCTACACTTCAGTAGAATCTATCAGGGATGAGAGTCAAGTTCCTAAGGCAAGGTGCTCAACTCCACCAGGTGTTTATTTTTGTTTACTGAGAAGGCCTGTCTCCAATTAGTTGATGATATACTTGACCTGGAAGCAAAACAAAAAACCCCAACAATCTGTAGACAGGAATGGGGTCAGTCCTGGATATTTGGGCTAAACATCTTACAATAATCAACCCTCCCCCCAAATCAGTTCCCTTTCATCTGGGCCACATAGAGTCTATAATCACAGGGACTGAACATGTCAGGGGGTGGTTGGCTGGGAAGAACCCTTCCCCTAGGAGCTGGGAGCAGCCCCCAGACATGCGAACCCCAGAGAGCAGGCAGCTCACCTCAGCCCTCACTAATGTCACTCATCAACCAGACACTGAACAAGTATTGTTCCAAAGTTCAAGAGAAACTTTGTACCAGAAGCAAAGATGAAAACCTAACCCCTCTGTCCCTCAAAATCACACCAAGACCCACAAAGAAAAGCTCAAAGCCAAGAACTAGAAACAGGAACCAGGAGAGCAAATAGGCTGAAGGACATAGAAAGTGCCACGAACTCCAAGCAGCAGCCTTAGAGCCGGAAAGGTGTCCTAAGAGCTCCCCGCCTCCTATAGGAGGCAATTTCTAGGCCAGACCAAAGCTCCAGACATAATTTAGGGTTGATACGACTCTGACTGACATTTTCAGCCCCCTCTATAAACACTGGCTTCTGAGAACCAGAAAGGTGAGCCGTTAGAGCAGGATCTGTAGCGGTGGCCTGGCTGACGTAGGCAGGAAAAAGACTAGGGGACCACCAGAATCCTGCATGGCAGAGAAGCAGCAGAGGCAGCCTCACAAGGGTGAAAGATCAGGCCACCCAAAATGATGCACTATCTACAGAAAATAGGTTTCTTGGAATAGAAATTAGTACTATGTGCTCTCAAAGCACATAGGAAGGAAGACAAATGTGTAAAAATCTCAACTGTTTTCCTGGTTCTTACGTGAGTGAAAGCGGCTGTCAAAACAAGTGACTGTTCAGGAACACGAGGTAAAAATACATCCTTAAGAGTGTAAAACACAAAATCCACAACCTTTTAGTCCTATCAAAATGCTCAACTTTCAATGTGTGGTTCCTAACAACCTTAGGCTGGTGGTGGTGGGAGCAGCGGCAGCCCACAGAAAGAAGGGATGGTAATTCTGGCTCTAGAGGTGGAGGCCTACAGACTCAACACAGGAAGAGGAGATGCAGGCAGAAATGCTAAGTGGTGAACAGAACTGGGTTAGCTGCTGTCGCTGACCCCACGGATCCTCCACGAGGACAAGTGGAACCTGAGGTAAGAGGGGAAAAAACATTCAAGCTGAACACTGGAACTGGTCAGAAGTTCGGGGCCGAAGCCACGAATGGGCCATTCTTACACAAACATCTAGGGATTTGCTGTGTCCTGTGACACCACACAGTGACATACAGGAACTGTAGGGATATATTAGATTTTCCATCTGTCAGAAAAGCAATGAATGGCCCCAAGATAATAATACAGTAATATCACAAGCAACCAGACTAGGAATTAAAATATGGATCTATTTATACACATACATCAACCCTATTTGAATCCAAAGGAACATGTATGCAATTTGACAAGTCTGGAACTAAGCATTTCAGTCCACTCCCTTGTGAACGGAGCTGACTGACTGAAAGCCAGAGCTGAAAATACAGAACCGTGGAGATCTTCCCTCTGCACATCCAACAAGCTGATAGACCTGTGACCTTGACTTCCTTCAGGAACTAACCCAACTCAAATGTTCCTCCACACAAACAAGGCAGAGGACAGCTGCCTTTAGAGAAACTGGACGCTTGAGTACAAAGCTGACCTGTGTCCAGTGCCCTGTGCTGGAAATGGGACTTAGGGGCTTAAAATCCCTATTTGTATAATCAATAAAGGTACAGCCGCTAAGAAAGTGAGGAGGTAAAACACAAGGAATGCCCGACACTCACTTCCTACTATTTATACTGGGGAAGATGAACTTGTCCCAAGTTAAGTGCTTTCTCGGTGACTTTCCTTCAGCCACTCATTATCATGAACCCCAAGTGCCTTACAAGCTGGGTTCTCGATTTTGATAGCATGGTCCCAAGGTCTTCCAGTTGAAAGGAACCCAATGTGCCTGGCATACGTCTGCAGTAGAGAATGCAGCTGAGCAGGGATGGTCCAAGCACTGGAGCTCTGGAGCGGGACCATTAATAATCCTGCAGCCATAAATAGTCCAGGGCATGACTGTTTTAATGAGCTGCTAATTTCCTTGAAGGCTAGACAAAGGGGGACATGGGAAGCAAGCCTCTGCCCTAACCTCCACCTTGGGCTGTCTGGCTTTCTTAATGTTACGGGCACTGCCAGTTACTGTGGCCCAAGGCACAGGGAAATTTTCTGTAGTTCTTGCTGGAGATCAAATTCCTACTTCTGACTTCAAAAATAATTTTACTTGAGGGTTATTTAAGGTGGTGAAAAATATCCACCTTGGCTAGTTATTCCCCAAGTCACCACAGAATGCTGAATAGGTTCAGGAAACAAACTCCATGTAGGCCCGAGTCCTTTAACAAGACCAGACAAAAGGAGGGAGGAGGCTGGCCTTCACCTTACTGGGGCCTGAGCACTTCTGCAAACAGATGCTTTGTTCTCTTCCCTCAGTGTCTCAGGGTTTCCTAGTACGATCCAACAGTGGATGGAGTGGGTTGTCTCAGGGACTCACAGGGTTCTATGCTTTTCCATGGTAAGTGCCTACATCTCCCTCAAGGGTATTTCAAAAATCTGGTTATTTGTTCCCACAAGCTTATCTGGCTTTCAAAAAAGATGGAAAATCACACCTATTATCTCAGCCCACAGGAGAGGACCCAGAATGAACTCTGGTCACACTATAAAGATCAGGCTCTCCAAGGTTCTCTAGATGGATCTGGTTTCCCTACAAACCCTTGCTTTCCATCTCCCGTGTAAGGAAGCTCTTCTTTATTATTCCCTGGCTCACTAGAGATCAGGAGCCCCAGTGGGTAGAATGTTCAGCTCCCAACGTATGCTGCAGAGGCACCTGGCAAACTGCTTTAAAAAAAAAAAAAAAAAAAAAAGGAGTGTGATAAATAGACATGTGGAAGAGGCCCTCCCATCCAATCAGATGTCCAAGTAAAAATAAGAATCCACACCCAGCAGAAAATGAGCCCTACTTGCACCCAAGTCACCACAGGACAGGACAAAATGGCTTTCCAACTCTGCCTAGAACCCCCACACTTCAATGAAGGACTTTAAATTTAAAAAAAAAAAAAGCATATGGAGAGACTGCCAAATATTTGACTTTGAAAAAGTTGGGGAAAGAGGTAAGGAAAAGTCAGACACCCACTACCACCCTCAGGGGATGGCGCTCAACATGCACCAGCTGCCAACCACTGAGCAAGAAGGGAAATGGAGAGGGCACTTTTTAATGTCCTGAAGGAATTTCTTTTTAGAAGAAAAAAAGAAATTCAAAAAGTTGGCTCTTTGGAAAAAAACGAAAGGTTGTGAAATGGAGTACCAGAAATGTTTTGCTTACCAGAAACCGTAGCTTGACTCCCCCTGCCTCGAGCTTACAACTGCAGCCTCCTTTCCTAAAGATCACTTCTCATCCTAGTGCCAACACACAGGAACTAAGCGACTGCAGAGGTAATGGCACTGAGGACAAAAAGTTTCTCCCCAAACTGAGAGGTGAGAATAAGGGAGGTTTACAAGAAGGTCCTGCCAGTCCCAGCCCTCCCCACTCATGTACAAAGCAAACCGGCTCAGGAAGCCCAAGGACTGGTCCTGGGCAGGGCGGCCCATCACAGCTTCCTTGGACCCAGTCGTCTGCCGGTTTACAAGCCCTGTGTCTTGCCCCATCTCTCAGCCTTAAAGACAGTTCTAGTTTGGCACCCCACACCTGAAGCAGGGTCAACTCCCAAGCAGTGGTGAGTGAAAAGGGGAAAATAAAAGCAATGGGTTGGTTATTAAATTCAAAAGCTGGAGTTATCCCAGGAGAGGGACAGCCTCCACTCCGAATTCTTAAGCTGTGATCCCTATAAGATACTTTGTAAAAGATAATTAAAGGAAAATGTATTCTCCCCATCAGCATTGTGCGCAGGGAGAAATTTGCTTGGGGGGGGGTGGAGTCTCCAGAGGGTGGAGAGGAAGCAAGCGGATTACATCACCTTTCAAAGTGGCTCCTCCCCCTTGACCAAGCCTTAGGGCGGTCCTAAGCTCTGACTGGCAAAAGGGAGAGAAAAACAAAGGAGGGCCGCCATTTTGTAATGGAGACGAGGACTCCGAATTTAAAAAGCCGCCGACTCTGCCGGTAGCTTTACTTACACTTAAAAACAGCACTAAAAAAAATACAAGCCATTCCGCCCCACCGTCCTCAATAATTTGAGCTATTTTGATTCAGGAAGAGCCTAGTGAAAATAAAAGCAATTAATATATTTTAAAGAACAATTTTCTGAGAGTAAGAATTGAATTTGCAACTGAAATTCAATTTGCTACCATCGACCCCCCCCCATAACGATAAAGGGGGAGGACTTGGACCCCTCTGAACAAATAGGGTTGCGGTGGGAGGACAGGAGGAAAATGGGTCAAGACACAACCTGCAACGCCGCTTGAAAGACAAAAGGACAAGGAAAAGTCGCCATATTTGAAGCAGGGAAGAAAAAAAAAATCCTTTTAACGACACAAATCTAGAAAGCTAGCATTCAAATGCACTAATGGCTCTTAAAATTATAGACTCCTGAATTCCACATTTCCCAACCTTTCCCCCCTCTAGTTTAACTGTATCCACCACCCGCTAAAGCTATCAAGTTAAAAATTTTAAATCACTTTGTCTTTAAAAATCCTACGCAAACTGCAACAATTACAAGACATTCGTTACCTCCCCAAATGTTATCTTGTATATGTAGTTGTAACTAAATTATACTTTGCCCTAAATTTAAGTGTCTTGCAATCTTTATTCCTAGATTGCACCTATTTTTAACCGTACAATAGATCCCAAGCAATTTACAGCAAAATTGAGAGGATTTAACGATCACTTAAGTTACATAGCCAGCTAGCATTTTTCTCTGCCCATCTCCTTACCCTGCAATCTTTATGTACAGATTGCTTATTAATCTGGCAAATTGAAAGGCGTTCTGCGTGTCTCACACACAAAGAAGTGGGACTTCTGGGCCACAAGATCCACCATCTTTTGTATGTGAGCTCATTAACCCTTTTGAAGACTGCTAACCAGAGGAAGGTAACCATTCCTCCTTATAAAAAAGCAAAGGCTTATGTTTTGGCAGTCTGGAAATTTGCTGGATTACCAAGGGTTAACCATCAAAATTCTCACTTGCTGGCCCTCCCTCCACCCTCTCCTTCCCTACTGCAGAGCAGGGAAGAGGCAGGTGGTAGGGGAGAGAGAGAACAAAGACTGTTGAGACCCAAAGGCCCTTTTTAAACGGAGATTAAGAGACCCAATTGGTCCTTCTCCAGTTTTCTACTCATTCTATGGTCTCTTCCTCTCATTATTTTTGGTTTCACAACGGGAAACGTTGATTTCTTGTTGTAAGGCTGGTTTTTGAAAATTCGACACTTACTATCCAATTTTTTTGCGACGTCAGCACCTCGGGCTCAGGGGGGGGAGGGCTTAAAATTTTGGAGGGAAAAAAAATTAACCAACCAACCAGGACCCAAAACTCAAATTACTTGGGGGGCCTCATTGGCTCAAAAAGTCTCTTTAAAAAGGAAAGGCCAACTGAGTTTTCATTCTCCCCCCACCCAACTCCATTTAGGGAGGGGGGGTCGTAGAAAAAAAAAATCTGAGTGGAGTCCAAAAAGGAACGCTTAGATGAGTGAGATTGGGTGGCTTTGGGCAGGGAGAGGGTGGGTGGATTATTTTTGAAGTTATGTGGTGACGGTCCTTCGGCCACAGAGTGCAAGTCCCAAGCAGCGTGGGCTGGTGGGGTGGGCAAGACAGGTGGGGAGGGGCAGAAGACACAAGTGGCTGGGCTGGTGGCTGCTGTTTTCCCTTTCCCCCCTCGGAATCCTTTCAAGGGCTTAGATGGTGCTGCGGCTTGTTTGTTTTCCTGGTGGCCGGCCTTTCTCGGAGTAAAATTCAACCTGGCATGGAAGGAACACAAGGGAGAAGGATGTGATCAGACGGGGTGGCCTCGGCGTCCCAGGACTCGCCCTCCGTTGCGCCCGCAGCACGGCCACCTTCGCAGGCTGTGGCGGCCCGGATCCCGGTGTTTCCCGCCCCCGCTGCCCCGGCCAACCGGTCTCCGCAGGCCGTTACCCTCCTTCCGCAAGGACACCCAAACTTACCTCTAAACGAACCCCAGAATGGCGGCAGCCCGCTCGGGCGGAGTCTTTTATACCGGGCCAGCGCCCAATGCACCCAACCTTGATAGCGAACCGCCCTCGTCGCGAGACAGTGTACGCGAGGCGATCCTGGATTGGCCAGCCCGGAGACCTGCTCGAGCGACGATTGGCTGCCCCTTCTTCCGGCTTCTTCCTGCTCCCCGCGTAGCGAGCGCGTGATGCGGCCGCCCCGCACCTCCCTTTCCTCCGCTTCTAGCACTTCCGCCTGGGCACAGCAACCTCTCCCCTGATTGGTGGGCACGGACGCGCGCATGCGCACTGAGAATACCCGGGTCCAAATCCCCCTCCAAACGACTTCCAAGTCCTACACTCAGTGTGGAATCGGGAGTCGTCGCGATTGTCCCGGAAAAAGCGCAATTTTGAGGTCTGATTTGATTGTGACGCAGGTTAAATTAGCTTCTCCCCGCGGCCCCCGCCCTTCCACGCTTCCGTCCTGACGCACGTGCGCAGCCGCTTCCTGCTGTGCGGGACGAGGGGGAGGAGTTAAGACAGGCCCCGCCCCCGGGCAGATTTCTCCTCCCCCCCAGGCATGCGTAGTGGGCGTCCCTGCCTGACGTCGGGCCTGCGTCAAGATGGCGGCTTCCGCGCTGCTCACGCTGCTGCGCCGGTTCCCTAACCCTGCTCCCTTCCTAAGCGCCTGCGGAGTTCAGGTAACGGGCTTCCTCCCGGCCGTTGCCCTCCCCGCAGCCCCCTGGGCGGCCCGGATCTCTGCACTGCCATGCTGAGTCTTGCAAGGGCCCGGGGGCCCCCCCATTCCCCAGACACCTGCAGAGTAGGTGATGGGCCTACCCCCCCTCCCCCCGCCGTGCACTGGCAACCGAACTGGCCAGCCAGTCCTGAACCCGTCGTGGTACCCAGGAGTGTCCCTGCATTAAGAGTCTTTAATATTTCTTTGTATTTTTCCCTTGGCGTTTCTGAGAAATAGTCTCGTACAGCCCTGGTTGGCCTCATGGATGACCTTGAACACCTGATCCTCCTGCCTCCTCCTCCCAGGCATTTGACTGCAGGTGTGATCCACCACTCTCTGCTCTGCCTCTTATCAGCATGCTTCGGAACCTAATTCTGTTCTGGAGTTTTCCCTCCAGCTTGAGGTACTCACCACCCTGGAGGTTCTTGGCAGGGCAGGGAGCGTTGGGAAGGCTTGTCTGATGCCACTCCCTAAAGTGGGACTGACGTTAGGGACAGGTCACCAACGAATTCATAGGCTTGGTAGCTTTAAAACTAGCGTTAGGACTCCAACTTGTTTTGCTCTAAGGAATGTTGACCTTCAACATTTTACATTAAAACTGGCTCACTCAGTGACTTGGGATTTGATTGGAATCTCAACTACCTCATGCATGTCCTGTCCTGCATACCTGTTATTTCCAAAACACTGCATGTTATAGGACAGAGTTCGTAAAAAAATCACCAACACCACTTTAAGAAAAGCAGCAAGGTAAATTTTAATTTTCCACCGGCCGGGCTGTCTATCTCAGCAGTAGAAGCATCCCTGATGATTATCAGGTCAGAGTTTTTATAGGATTACAGAAGTATTATTAAAACAGGACACTTGTGAACCAATCAGGTTTGTATAACATAGCAGAATTTTGACTCTATTAATCAACCAATCATACAGACAAGTGATACAGTCATATAACTTGGCATCAAATTTTGTGACCTTAAAACTAGCCAACTGCTTTAGCCATAAGTATAATAAGACAATCAGGGTGAATGATGTCTAGGTGGTCATACAATAACAGGATAACAAGGGTGGTCTTATGCCCTGTGTCAGGGTGACCCAAGATAGCAAGCAGGTTACAGAAGTGAAAACAAGCTGGTTAGTCAGATGTGTGATGTCTGGAATTAGCACATTCCATGGTTCATGTCTGACCCAATCAGGTTTGTACAACATAGCAGAACTTTGAATCTATTAATCAACAACCAGTCATTATACAGACAAGTGATACAGTCGTATAACTTGGCATCAAATTTTGTGACCTTAAAACTAGCCAACTATTTTAGCCATAAGTATAATAAGACAATCAAGGTGAATGATGTCTAGGTGGTCATACAATAACAGGATAACAAGGGTGGTCTTATGCCCTGTGTCAGGGTGACCCAAGATAGCAAGCAGGTTACAGAAGTGAAAACAAGCTGGTTAGTCAGATGTGTGATGTCTGGAATTAGCACATTCCATGGTTCATGGCGAGGGCAATTTTCCAAGACCCAAGGTTGCCCCCCTTTTCCTTTCGGTGTGGCGCAAAGTTGCTGCTGAAATGGCTCTGAACAAAACGGAGTAACTTAGGGAAGTTCGCTGAGCCAGTTCACTGCACACCCTTCTCTCCCTTTTATCCCATTCAACTCGTTCCCAAGTACAGATCTTGTTTAATGATTGTGTTCTACCAATGTATCCTGATTATCCCTTCAGTGTAGATGGCTTATCCTACACGACCTAAAAATTGGAGCTAGGCAGAGTGGTTGTTTAATGCTAACAAAAGTGCTGCCTTTCTTGTCTGTCCCTGTCCAATCATGTTAGGCACATTGCACCTCCAAAGTATGACAGACTAGAGTCCTTTCTTAAAACTCATCCTCTCTGTTGTCTCCTCCTTTATAGGTTCCTCTACAGACTCTTTGCACCAAAGTATCCCCTGAAGAAGATTCTCTGCCCTCGATTCCCATTTCCCCTTATGAGAATGAACCCTGGAAATATCTGGACTCAGAAGGTACCCCAGATTGGAGGAGAGGAGGAGAAGGTGGGCCCTGAGGTGAATTGGTAGAGGTGATTCCTTCCACTAGTGTCTGTAATCAATCTGGCTTTCATTTCAGAATACCAGAGCCGCTATGGTTCTCGCCCTGTCTGGGCTGACTACCGCCGCAACCACAAAGGTGGTATACCCCCTCAGCGGACCCGGAAGACCTGTATTGTGAGTTTTTAAGGGTGGCATCTGGTTGGGATGAGGGTGGGGCGTGTAAGGATGATTGGAAAATGTTTTGATCATCTTTAACTGCCAATTTCCTTTTCACAGCGTAACAATAAAGTTGCTGGGAATCCTTGCCCTATCTGCCGGGATCACAAGTTGCATGTTGACTTTAGGGTAAGGAGAATCTTTTATCCAGGATTAGGATTTGGAGCCTCTTTGCAGTACTAAAGAGATGATCATGAATACCCCCCCCATACTTTTCTTTTCCTGATTTTTCTGCAGTCCATTTTGCAATGAGTGTTTCTGCCAACATATAAACCCCCCCCAACCCCCCATCCCGCCCAGCCTTTCACCTCTACTGTGGATTGTACTGCCAAAGTTTGTTCCCTGCCCAGTTGTAGTCTAAATTGGCAGGTAAGGAAAACATGTATTTCACCCCAGGCTGGATGGTGTACATCTTTCACTCCGGCACTGGGGAGGCTGACAGAACTGTGAGTTTCAGGCCTTGGCCATGGCCCTACCTCATCCCTCTCAAAAAAGAAAAGCCGGGCGTGGTGGCGCACACCTTTAATCGCAGCAGAGGCAGGTGGATCTCTGTGAGTTCAAGAACAGTCTGGTCTACATAGTGAGTTCCAGGACAGCTGGGGTTATAGGGAGACTCTGTCTTAAAAAGACCAAAAAAAAGAAAAAAGGGGAGGGGAACAGTGCCCAAAGGTTAACTGGGGAGGAGGGGTGAGACAGAGTCTCAGATAGCTCAAGTGACCTCAGACTCGATGTGTAGCTGAGGATAACCTTGAGCTCCTGATCCTCCTGCCTTTCCATGTGCTATGATTATTCCACCACACCCAGCCTAGTGGTTCATTTGTGTTTTCTTTTTATTTTCTTATTTATCTTTTTGGGTCTTTTTGAGAACTCACAAAGATCCACCTGCCTCTGCCTCCTGAGTGCTGGGATTAAAGGTGTGTGCCACCACGCCCGGCATATTTTATTACTATTATTTTACGTGTATGAGTGTATTGCCAGCATGTATGTGAGTACACCCTTATCATGCAATGCTTCAGATTCCCCTGGAACTGGAGTTAAGGACAGTTCTTAGCCGCCATGTGGGTGCTGGGAATCAAACCCAGGTCCTCTGCAAGAGCAGTCAGTGCTCTTAACTGCTGAGCCATCTCTCCAGCCCCTGTATTTTCTTTTTAAGTGAAAAAAGTAAATTTATTAAGAGAAAGCCTGTTGTGGCGCATGCCAGGAGGATCATGAACTGGAGTTCAGGGCTACACATTGAGCTGGGTGTGCTGGTGCATGCCTTTCATCCCAGCACTCAGGAGGCAAAGACAGGCGGATCTCTGAGTTCAAGGACAGCTGGGGCTACAGGGAGACCCTGTCTCAAACAGACCACAAAAGAAAAAGTAAGAAAAACTCCCAAGAGTCGGAAAGGTTCCAAGGCAGCAGTACCCCATTTATTATCTATTAAAATGATTAGATAATATATTACCCTACTTCTTTCTGTGTGTGGGTCAGCTTGGTCTACACAGGGAGTTCCAGGCCAGCTAGTGATATAAATTGAGACCTTGCCTCAAAAAACGGGCTAGAGAAATGACAAGAGGACCTGGGGTTGGCTCTCAGTACCCATATGTTGACCTGTAGCTCAGGAAGTAGACCAGACCGCTCTCTCTAGGTACACAGAAATCTGCCTGCCTCTGTCTCTTGACAGAGGGATTAAAGGTGTGTGCAACCACACCCAGCAAGATTTGCTTCTTAATGAATTGAAAAGCATTATGAAACTGCTAATAGGAAAGTGCTTTCAGAGCTAGCAGTATTTTAGCCAAAGCTGTATGGCTAGTCATCAAGAGAGTCCTGAGGTTTGTGTGTCAGCCCGCCTGTGGTGCCTGGCTGCTCTGGTAGCATTTCTGACATTACCAAGGATAACCTGCCAGTTTCAGTGTGGACGGCAGGTGATAGGAAATACAACCAGTTATGTGACAGTTGCTCCACAGATGTGCCTGTGCTCAGGAGTTGTTCTATGTATTTTGAACTATAAAATGTTCTTGGTCACACATTATATTCAGCACACCGTTCTGTTTCTTAGTCATTTATAGGAACCCACCAGAAGGTTATTTCTGGGGCTTTGATAACGTCCTAATTTTTCCCCAAAGATTGACTTTGGGAAAGTAATCCCTGTGGAACCCACTTTGGCATGATTCACTAGGAGAATACAGGATGTGCATATGAAGTGGTTGAACAGCCAGTGAATTGGTGAGGCTAACACTGAGATGTGGAGAACAGCATCCAGTGGCAAAGGGTGTTTGAGGTGTCCAGACTGCAGTTTCAGGCTCCAGAGCTCTTGACTCCCTCGCCCACCATGTTTGTCTCTCTCCTGCAGAATGTGAAGCTCTTGGAACAGTTTGTCTGTGCCCACACAGGAATCATCTTCCACGCCCCATATACAGGTTAGCCTGGCATTCTGGTCTGCCAGGATAACTTTTTCTTGGAACACTCCTGGCTTATGTAGTTGGGTAGCAGGTATTTGGTGGCTCCCATTTATAGCACAAGTGTGGTTAAAGCTTTTGGAGTCTTGCTTGATGAGGAGACTCCTGTGCTAAAGCAATTAAATGTAGACAAAGGTGAGCTCCTCTGTAAGCAGACTATCTCCATGTGCTCTTAAAAGGTAAATGGAGGCAGAGGAAGGTGAATTTTCCTGAGTTCAAGGCCAGCCTTGCCAGGGCTATTTAGTAAGGCCCCGTCTCCCCAAAAAAAGTAAACAGATTGCTGCTTTTCTGTAACTCTCTTCTGCTACCTAAGTTCTTTTATGCAGCCAAAACATTAATTTGGTTTCCCAAACTTAAAAGTGTAAGTGTACCAGTCAGGATTTTTCTATGCCTTAACCAGATGCTGCCATGCCCAGGTTTTCATATCTACAGCTGCTTCTGGGCAGCAGTGGCAGAGCTTAGTGGTGATGGTGGACACAGGACCCGCAGAGCCTAGGTCCTTAGTGTATGGCTCTGCACTGAAAAATGTTGCCAAGAACTTGGCAGAGAATAACCTGGACCCGTCATTGGGTGTGGCGCTATGATGTTCAGTTTGTTGGGAAGTTTTTTACTCTGGGTCTTCAGAAGGCAAGCAGGATAATTATTGCTACTTCATCAGATCATTTTCCCCAGATATGAAATCACTTCTCTGTGTATCGTCCAACTCAGCCATTCAGCCACACTTGCCGACTTGCAGAATTTATCACGGGAGGACCTCTCTGTAGTGGTTAGATAAGCAGAGCTCTTAGCCAGCTCCCTTGCAGTGAAAGATGATTCCCTCTGGGCAGGTGGGAAAACAGAGGCCCACAGGAAGGTCAGAAGTATGGGTTGCCAGGTAAAGCCAGATCCTCCATATCTAGCTATCTTCCACTGTATATAGCATTTCTTTTATTGACTGTGTCTTGCCGAATGCGAGCTGTGCTCTTTTTCTTTTCCTAGGGGTCTGCATGAAGCAGCACAAGAAGCTGACCCAGGCCATCCAGAAAGCCAGGGAATGTGGTGAGTGGGAGGAAGGAGGGCAGGTTTCCTGGGGAAAAAAAGTGACTTGGGCCTGGAGGGTGTGTCTAAGCGCTCCCCCTGTCTGAGAAGGGCACTTACTTCCCTGTACTCTTTCCAAACTGGGTGTGACGGCGGGACCCTGTAAGCCCAGAACTCTGGATACAGAGGCAGGAGGATTGCTGCAAGTTCAAGTCTAGCCTGGTCTACACAGCAGGTTCCAAGTCACCGGAGCTGCACTATGAGGCCGCTAACTCTTGCTGTCTCGGTTCTCCTGAGTCTTGTCACTGTCCCTTTGCTCTTCGCCCTTTTTCTTCTGTTAGTTTACAGTGCTGGCAATGCTGTCAGGCTCACAGAACGCTCCTTACATAAACTGACCCTGGGTTATTTGGCACCTTTGTACTGCCTAGTGAAAGTGCCCCCTCACTAGAGTGTGCAGCTCCTGAGCACAGCTTGGAGAGCCAAGGCAGTGCTTGGGCCTGCTCTCTGCCTGGCTGGGTGGGGCTTTGTGTCATATATGGCATGCAGAAATGTACGGGGCAGTCCCCACTGGTCCCTTCAGCTTTTTTCTTGTCTGAATACGAACTGCCCTCCATTTTAAATCCCTTAGGTCTCCTCAGTCAGTACATTCCCCATGTTGAACCCCGCGACCTTGACTTCAGCACATCTCATGGAGCTGTGAGTGCTACTCCACCAGCACCCACCTTGGCATCAGGTGACCCTTGGTACCCATGGTACAACTGGCAGCAGCCACCGGAGAGAGAGCTGTCCCGCCTTCGACGGCTATATCAAGGAAATCTCCTAGAAGAAAGCGGCCCCCCACCTGAGTCCATGCCTGCGGTGCCCCCCCCACCCCCAGCAGAAACCTCCTCTGAGCAGACCAGCCACCAGAGTGCTTAGAATTTATGAAAGATTCGGAGAGATTATGAGGAAGTGCCTGGGCTTATGTATGCGGTGGCTGTGCTCTGAAAAGTGACCCGTTGCAGGCCACGTGGGAATGCCAGCTGGTGAAGGGACAGATGGATTTGAGGTTGGAGAGAATGTCTGCATGTGGGAAACAGATCAGGGAGTTTCAAGGCGGGTGGGAAACTGACCAGGGAGAGAGGTCCGTGTGCACGTGGAAACATCACAGAGAGAGGGAGGTCCGTGTGCACGTGGAAACTGACTATGGAGAGAAGGGGGTCCATGTGCACGTGGAAACTGATCACGGAGGGGGGGGTCCATGTGCACGGAGAGAAGGGGGGTCCATGTGCACGTGGAAACTGATCACGGAGGGGGGGGGTCCATGTGCACGTGGAAACTGATCACGGAGGGGGGGGTCCATGGAGCACGTCGAAACAGGTTCAGGTGCGTGTGGGAAATTGGACTGTAAGCTGTTTGACTTTTCCACAATAAAGCTGTATCTCCTGCGGGTCTCTGGCTTGCTTGCTTTGGGCCATTTAGCGGGTTGCTGTTGAGAGGGGTAGGAAGGGGTGCGGTGTGGCCAGATAACTGGCCCCGCCCGCAGCTTCGGGAAGGGTCCGCGGTGGCCCCTTCCGTCCTTTTCGAAGAGCTGCTCGCCTTTCAGCTGCTCCCTAGGAGCAGAAGGAAGTGCCGGAAGAATGCGTTAATGCTACAGTCAGTCGCTAGGGGGACAGCCAGTCCGGCGACAGGCACGGGGTCTCGGGTCCACTGGACGGGGCGGGGCTTACGGATAAAGGCTCACAGGCAGGCGGCAGGGGCGGAAGTGACGTTGCGCGGGGCGGGTCCGGCCGCGCACAATGGGCCATGGAGTTCCCGTTCGATGTGGACGCGCTGCTCCCGGAGCGGATCACCGTGCTGGACCAGCACCTGCGGCCCCCGGCCCGCCGACCCGGAACCACTACGCCGGCCCGGTGACAGCTCAAACCCGCCCCACGGCCCTTCTGTCTCGGGTCCTCTCCAAACCTGGGGCAGGCACCACGCCCCCTTCTCCTGAGCAGAGGCCACTCCTCTGAGGGCCTGGCCTGCCTTGTTAGTGACCTTTGACCCTACGCCTAGGGGTTAATCCGTCTGCTTCCATGACCTTTCACCCTTTGGTCCAATGTGGTCTCAACCAGAGGCTGTGGTTGACCCACCCTTCCTACTGTCCCACGGTTGAAAGGTGGGACCCAAGTTTGGACCCCAGAGGGCTGGGTGGGAAGTCAGTGAGACCCCTAGGCAGAAGCCCCGGGACTTCAGCTTGGTCGGGGCCCAGGCCAGGCCGCCAGGGGTGACCTCGGGTTGCTGCAACCCAGGGAGTATCTGACGGTCTTCTCTTTCTGTAGTGTGGATCTGCAGCAGCAAATCATGACCATTGTAGATGAACTGGGCAAGGCCTCTGCCAAGGTACGGGCATCTCCAGCTGGAGTGGAGGGAGACTGTGGGGTGATGGACTTTGTGGGGTGGTGGGCAGGGGCCTGAACGAGTCTGCCATCATCTCTGCAGGCCCAGCATCTTCCTGCTCCCATCACCAGTGCATCGAGGATGCAGAGTAACCGCCATGTCATTTATGTGCTAAAAGACACTTCTGCCCGACCGTGAGTGCCCATGCTCTTCCATCCCTACGGAACCCCTCCCCTCAGCCGCCCCCTTTCTTATGACTCCCAGGCGTTGCCACTGGCTCCTTCATCATTTTCCCCATCCCACAGGGCAGGGAAAGGAGCCATTATTGGTTTCCTCAAAGTTGGATACAAGAAGCTCTTTGTACTGGTGAGTGTTGCTGGGAGCTGGACGTTTGTGAGCTGTGGTGTGGGAGAAGAGAAGTGGTGGAGGACCACCGGGTAGGCACGACAGCAAAGGTGTCCGGATGGTAAAAATATGTCCTGTTCTTTTCCTCACAGGATGACCGTGAGGCTCACAATGAAGTAGAACCACTATGCATTCTGGACTTTTATATCCACGAGTCAGTGCAACGTCATGGCCACGGCCAAGAGCTCTTCCATTACATGCTGCAGGTATCAGTCACCACAGATACACAAGGCACCCAGAGGCCCTGCTGCCCCTCCGCAGTGTTCCCCTGTCCTTTCTTCCTGTTCCCTGGCCAGGCCCCTGACGGCCTGCTGGCACAGCCCCTACCAGCCCTACTAAGGTAATGTCCTTTCCCTGCAGAAGGAGCGAGTTGAACCACACCAGCTGGCCATTGACAGGCCATCACCAAAGCTGCTGAAGTTCCTGAATAAGCACTACAACTTGGAGACCACTGTCCCACAGGTCAGAGCTCTGCATGAGGCTCCTCATTGAGCATTCCCATTAGACCATCGTCCCACAGGTCAGAGCTCAAATGTGACTCTTCACTGAACATTCCTGTTACATGATTAAGTGATCATTTTGTGATACTGGGGATCCATCCATGGGCCGTGGGCATGCTACACGTGTGCTCTGCCACTGAGCTATATCCCCAACTCCCTTTTTTGTTTGTTTCGAGACAGGATCTCATTATGTGGCCCAGGCTGGCCCTGAACTCACAGAGATCCACCTGCCTCTGCCTCCCAAGTGCTGAGATCACCATGCACCACCATGCCTAGCCCCATCTCCCACTGCCCCCCCCACCCCCCATTTAAAAAAAATATCACATTATTTTGTGTATGTTCTCTCTTATGCGTATGTTTGTAGAGGTCAGAGGACAACATCAGTTCTCTTCTTTCTACCATTTGGGTCCTGGAGATCAAACTCAGGTCATAAGGCTTGGCAGCAAGTGCCTTTACCCACTGAGCCATCTTGCCAGCCCCGACGTGTGTAATGGAAACGGGGTCTTGCTGTGTATCTTGGCCTGGCCTTGAACTCATGCTTACTCTCTTGTTTTCCACCTCCTTCCTGAGTAATGGGGTGACAGGTGTGCATCACCAAGCCAGGCTGTTTTGTTTGTAACTCACCTTCCCTCAAACTCATGATTCTCCTGCCTCAGCCACCCAGAGACTAGGACTATGTGCCACAGTGCCCAGCTAAAGTTGTTTGGGACAGAGAAGTGGTTCTTCCCAGGAGCTGTTTATTCCTCATCATACGTGATTTGTTTTGTACAACTCACTTTTTTTGTACTGTCACATACTCTATGGCCGTTCAGTTGTTTTGAGGGAATTTACTTTTATTATGTGTATGTGTGTACCCCTGGAGGCCAGAAGAGGGTGTCAGATCCCCTGAAGCTGGTCTCACAGGCAGTTGTGAGTCACCCAGTGTGGGTGCTGGGAACTGAAATCTTAGCCATGGAGTCATCTCTCTAGCCCAAGGATTTTTCTTTTCTATTCTTTTTAAAAAATATTTTAGCTGGGCGTGGTGGTGCATGCCTTTAATCCCAGCACTTGGGAGGCAGAGGCAGGTGGATCTCTGTGAGTTCAAGGCCAGCCTGGTCTACATAGTGAGTTCCAGGACAGCTGGGGCTACATGGAGACCCTGTCTCAAAAAGACCCCCCCAAAAAATTTATTATTTTTATTTTATGTGTGAGTGTATTGCCTGCATGTATATTGTGCAGTGCCTGTGGAGATCAGAAGAGGGCATTGGGGCCCCTGGAACTAGAGTTAACAGGTGGTTGTTAGCTGCCATGTGGGTGCTGGGAACTGGACCTGGGTCCTCTGCAAGAACACTCGGTGCTCTTAAGCATGGAGCCATCTCTCCAGCCCTCTCTATTCTATTTTCTTTTTTGGTCATTTTGAGACAGGTTCTCCCAGTAGCCTCAGCTGGCCTGGAACTCACTATGTAGACCAGGCTGGCCTTGAACTCACAAAGATCCATCTGCCTCTGCCCCCTGCGTGCTGAGATTATAGACATGAGCCATCATGTCCAGCTTAGAAGCTGATTTTCCAGATGATCAGGAGTTCAACGTCATGTAGCCAGCCTGGGCTACATGAGCCTTTGTTTAAAAAAAAAATTAAAATTAAAAAAGACAACAGAAGGGCTGGAAGAACCCAGTTCTCAGTACCCACATGGCGGCTAACAACCATTTATAACTCCAGTTTCAGGGGATCCGTCACCTTCTGGTCTCTGAGGGCACTGCACTCATGGTACATACATACATGCAGGCAAACACTCATACTCATAAAATAAATCTTGAAAAGGGCAGTAAGACATGATGGTGCTGGTGTATACCTTTAATCCTAGCACTTAGCCCAGGCCAGCCTGGTCTTCATAGGAAGCTCCAGACCAGGGAGACCCTGTCTCAAATAGACAAAAAAAATTTTATTATTGGTCTGTGTGTGAGAGTATGATTGTATGTTGTGAGTGCAGGCATGTGCATGCCATGGTGCATGTGTGAGGCAAGAGAACAACCTGTGGGAGTCAGTTCTCTTTCTGCCATGTGTGTTCCGGGAGTTAAACTCATCCTACTTGCATGGCAGAGCTCTTATCTCCTGAGCCATCTCACCGCCCAGCATTCCCTGTTTGAAGCCAACTGAATTTCTCTCAGTATGTGTATAAACTGTTTAGCCTTGTGCATTAGGTCAGTCAGCTTTTTTTTTTAATATTTTAAAAAATATTTTTAATATTTTATTATTTTATGTGTATGTGTGTATTGCCTGCATGTAGGTAAGTGTACCCATGTCGTGCAGTGCCCACGGAGGACAGGAGAGGCTGTCAGATTCCCTGGAACTCGAGTTACAGACAATTGTTAGCTGCTATGTGGATGCTGGGATTTGAACCCGGGTCTTCTGCAAGACCAATCATTGTTCTTAACCGCTGAGCCATCTCTCCAGCCCCAGGTTAGGTCAGCTTTTGTCACTGGCAGTAAATTAACTTAATGGATAAAGGCTCACAGTTCAATTTTTACCCTCAAATTGTCCCTGTTGCTTTTGGGCCCCTTGAAGTAGAGCATCATAGGCCAGGAGCTCCTGGAAGAGGACTGCCGGGACCCGCCCAAGTGGCAGCCTGGAAACAGGAAGAGAGGGCGGGCCACTGCTCCAGTGTCCCCTCCAGAATTGACCTGTGATCAGGCCCCAGCCCCAGAGCTTCCACCACTCCCAACAGCACCTGCTGGAGACCTAACCTTTGGGACCATGCCTTGTTAATATGTATTGTTTTATGTTTTGTTTTGACAGCTTGAGATGTCGCAGTACCCCATATTTTGACTCATGTACCAGGATCCTGGGGGAACTTAAAAGTAGAGCTAGGGTTTTTATTGAGATATAATTTACTGGATTTATTTAATTTTATTTGTATGAGGGTTTTGCCTGCTTGTGTGTAAGTGCACCCGTGTTGTGTGATGCCCATGGAGGTCAGAAGAGAGTGTTGGATTCCCCTAGAACTGGAGTTTTGTATGCTTGTTAGTCACCATGTGCATGCTGGGAATCAAACCCAGGTCCTCTGCAAGAGCAGCCAGTGCTCTTAACCTCTGAGCCAGCCCCCTCCTAATTTACTGTTTGCCCCAAGATATTTTTTTTTTATGTATATAAGTGTATTACCTGCATGTGTGTAAGTGTACCTGCATCATGCAATGCCTGAGGAGGTCAGAAGAAGGTACAGGATCTCCTGGAACTGGAGTACAGGCGGTTGTTAACCGCTATATTGGTGCTGGGATGCAAACCTGGGTCCTCTGCAAGAGTAGTTAGTGCTCTTAACTGCTGAGCCATCTCTCCAGCCCCGGTACCAAGATTTTTTAAATACTTATTTACTTGCATGGGGGTGGTATGTGTGCCACGGTGCACAGGTCGAGGTCAGAGGACACTTGTGGTGGTTGGTTCTCTTCACCATGTGGGTTCTGGAGATTGAACTCAGGTCATAGGCTTGGTAGCAAGCCCCCCTCCCTCAAAAGAAAAAAGAAAATAGATGAGGGTGAATGGCTATAGAGTGATAGTGTAAGCAGGAAGGAGGGTGTGGACAGCAGGATGGGGGGTATGACGGCAGGATGGAGGTACAGATGGCAGGATGGGGGGTATGACGGCAGGATGAGGGGTACAGATGGCAGGATGGTGTACAACAGCAGGATGGAGGGTACAGACAGCAGGATGGGGAGGTATGATGGCAGGATGAGGGGGTACAGACAGCAAAGACATGGACAGCAGGATGGGGGGCATAGACAAGAGGGAAGGGCACAGACACCACAGGACTGTCACCTAATTCAAAGTTATGAAGATTTTACCACTTATTTCTCTGTGTCATGGTTTTAACTTTTATATTTAGGTCTTTGATCAATTTGATGTACATTTTGTCTGCAATGTGAAATATTGACTCAGAATCAGAACTTTGCTGTGGATATTCATTTATCCAAACACGGTTTGTTGAAGGGCAGTTGTTCATCCCTTGTTGAATAGCTTTGGAACCTTTGTTGAAAACCAGTTGACAGCCAGGTACGATGGCACATGCCTTTTAGTCCCAGCGCTCAGGAGGCTGAGGCAGGCAGATCTCTGTGAGTTTGGGGCCAGCTTGGTCTATGTAGCAAGTTCTAGGCTGGTCAGGAGACTCACCAATGGGGGGGTTGGTGGTAGACAGGAGAGAAGAGGGAAGGGAGGGGAGGGGAGGGAAGAAAAAGAAAAGAAAACCAGCTTATTTCTGGATCCTTGTTTCACTCCACGAATGGAGTCTGCTGCCCTGTGCTACTTCCACAGTATCATGTCTTTGTGGCACTGAGACCCTTCCACCATACCATTTTGATGTGTGCAGCTCTGTAGTGTAGGTTTTGAAACCAGGAAGTGCTAATGCTCATTTTTGTCTTCTTGACTGGCTCTGTATAATTTTTCTATGATTCCACATGAACTTTAGCACCAGCTTGTTGGGGTCTGGGATTTTATCTGGTCTGCCCCAAAGACAAGAGATCTGGCTTTTGTTCTTTCCACTGTGGGTTTGTTTGTTTTTTGAGACAGGGTCTCATGTAGCCCAGACTGGCCTCAAACTCACTGTGTAGCTGAGATGACCTGCCACTCCTGAGCCTCTTGCCTCCACCTTCCAAGTGCTGGGATTCCAGGCCTGCACTGCTACACCTAGTTTGTGATAGCACACACTGAACCCCGGGTTTCATTTTCATGTAAGCCACCTGAGCCACATCCCCAGCCTGCCCCGGTGGTCTTTCTGGCACAGGTTCTATACCCCAGGGTGTGCTGAGGTTAAGTACACAGCTGTTTGCTTTATCTTCTAGGTGAACAACTTTGTGATCTTTGAAGGCTTCTTTGCCCATCAACATCGTAAGTTTTCTTACCTTGTCTTGTAGCGGGGAAAGGGGAAGGAAAGAGGTGGGCTCTTACAGGTCCCACTGGCCCCCACTGAGGGCCATCACCCCTTCCTTCCTCACAGGGCCCCCTGCTCCCTCCCTGAGGGCAACTCGACATTCCCGCGCTGCTGCGGCTGACCCCACGCCTGCTGGTAAAGCCTCTGTCACTGGGTGGATCTTAAGCACACTAATGGCTAGGATGGCTAGTTTCTTGAGAGGCCCCAAGCATTCGGTGCTATGTGTGGATAGTTTAGGAAATCCTAAAGCAACCCACATACCCAGCAGGCCCCTCATTTGTCTTTGCCCTCCCTGGAGCTAGTGCATTTTGTCTGGCTAGGACCTAAAGCCTAACGCTGAAGCCCATGCTATGTTGCACTGGCCTTCCTCAGAGGCAAACTGTCCCCTGAGACCTTCACACAGGGTCTCTCTAAGCAAGGCCCTTCAGAGCCTGGCTGATCACTGATGTCAGCAAAGCCTCTTTGCTAGGTGGTCAGCTCCCTCAAAACAGGCCAAAGTCATGTTCCTTTGTAAATTCCTCGGGTTCCCTCACAGAGGGAAGTGCGGTCACGCCTTATATTTCCAGCTGTGGGATAGTGGGGCAAATGGAATTTAAATATTACTTTTAGAAGATAGTGCCCAAGGGGCTGGAGAGATGGCTCAGTGGTTAAGAACACTGGCTGTTCTTGCAGAAGACCCAGGTTTGAATCCCAGCACCCACATGGCGGCTAACCACCATCCATAACCCCAGTTCCAGGGGCTCTGAGAATCTCTTCTGACCTCCAAGGGCATTGCACAACACAGGTGCACTTACCTACATGCAGGCAATACACACATACACATAAAATTAAAAAAAAAAAAAGATAGTACTCAAAATTTATAACATGTAACAAAATAATGCAACTTACTTGGATAAAAAAAACCTTCACAGGCCGCCTGCAGCCTGAGCCCAGCCCACTCTCCCTGTGTATCCTCAGGCAGGGGGGCAGTGCTGTGAGGTGCTGCCACAGAAGGACCCCTTCCTGGGCTGGCCTTGTGGCCGGCTCTCACCTTCCTCTTGGCCAGGAAGAGGAGTAGCAGTGAGCCAAAGACCAACCCACTGCCCCTACTGGCATCCAGCACTCAGGCACAAAGAGGCCCTCCATGTCCACTGTGCACTTTGGTTTCCGCTTGAGCAGCCCCTGCTGGAAGTCAGATCTGCCACCGTCTGGGATGGTGAGGACGCAGATCCTCATCTGCAGCTCCCACCTGCAGAAGCCCTTTTGTATATGTCCACATTTTCTCATTCTTGGTTGAGATAGGACCTTGCTGTAGCCCTGGCTGACCTGGAACTTGCTGTGTAGATCAGGCTGGCTTCAAAATCACCTGCCTCTCCCTCCTGAGTTCTAGGACTAAAGTTGTGAGCCAGCAGACCCCAGCTTCCTCATTCCTTTAAAAAGTTTTTAAACTAATAAAACTTCAGTCTCTCTGTATCTTTCTACGTACGAAGGAGGTTCTACCCCACCTTGCTCTCCCTGCTCCCTTCCAGAGCAACTTCCAATTAACCAAGGGCTTTGTCCATCTCATCTAGAGGGACCCAGGGTCCTCGCTAGCCCAGCTGGGACCACTCCACTGCCCCAGAACCCCAGGGGGGCCTGACAGCACCCACGGACAGTAAGAGCTGGATTCCTCTTGGCCATCCTTTCCCGCATCTCCCAGTCCCTGGTCTCCCCTGGATCTTTCTCCTGAAACTGTTTGGCCTACTCCTCCTGGCTGTCCCCAAGTGCTCCAGCATCTGCCCACACTCCCTTTGGTGTGCTGACTTGCCACAGCAGGGTGCTGCAGTGTGCTCCCAGGAGGAGCTGTGGTGTCAGGGAGCAGAGGTTTGGGGTTGGGGGGGATGGCAGGGGAGAGGTGCAAGGGGCGTCTCCTAAAGCCTCCCTCTGTCTCTCCACCACCAGCTCCAGCAAGGAAGCTGCCACCCAAGAGGGCAGAGGGAGATATTAAGCCATATTCCTCCAGTGACCGAGAATGTAAGAGGGGCTGAGGACTCCCAGGAGGGTGGCTGGGGAGGGTGGCAGGCCGGGGATCCAGAGGACTGTAGTGTTCTCTAAGGTCTGCAGTTTCTTCTTCCTGGTCCTTGCTGTAACCTACTTCTCCCTTTTCTTCTTTTCCTCCTCCCTCTTTGCTCTTCTCTCCCCAGTTCTGAAGGTGGCAGTGGAGCCCCCTTGGCCCTTGAACAGGGCCCCTCGCCGTGCCACACCTCCAGCCCACCCACCGCCACGCTCCAGTAGTCTGGGAAACTCGCCAGATCGGGGTCCCCTCCGGCCCTTCGTGCCAGAACAGGAGCTGCTGCGTTCCCTGCGCCTCTGCCCCCCACACCCTACTGCCCGCCTTCTGCTGGCCACTGACCCTGGGGGCAGCCCGGCACAACGTCGCCGCACCAGGTAACCAGACTTGGGTGTTCAGAAGCCGCAGAACTATCCAAAACCACAAATATCTGCAGCAGTGGCCTGGGAAAAAAGGGAAGGACCTGAGGGGGCTTTATACGGACTAGGGACCCTAGTTATGTGAAAGGCAGACGGAAGGGTAGGAACACTTGGGGATCCATTGGGTGGGGGCCCTGAGCCTCCCAAGACTTAGGGATCTTGGCTTAACACTTGATGGGGATGGGCAGTGTCTCACACAGATTGGGAGCCTGTGGGTCCCCCACCAAGGCCTGTGTGCCTAGAGCCAGCCTTTCCTGTAGGCAGGCAGGGTGTGGGCATCTCCTTTATTTCTCCTCCTGGCTTCCTCTTCACCTCTGACTTCTGTTTTTCTCTCTCCCTTCCCTTCCCTCTCCCTCTCTCCTGTCCATGACACCCCTCCATAGCTCCCTTCCCCGCTCTGATGAGAGTCGATACTGACAGCTACCCTCTTCCCTCCTTGGGAAACCTGGGATGGGCAGAGATCCCCTCTCCCTGAACCTGTAGCCCACTCTTCCATTAAGATTCCTTCCCATTTCTTAGACAACTGGGTTGTCAGGGTTCTAAATAACCCAATACTTTGTAGCTTTTCTTAACCACAGAAGGCGCCCTGCACAGACCTGGGCTCTGAATACTCTTACAGTAGACAGTCCACTCTGCTGCCAGAACCCCTGGTGGGTGGCCCCTAGTGACTCTCTAGAGAAGCACATTCTTTGCATACGGTCAGACTCCAGACCACCATGGAAGGCCCGAAGGCCTCCTCTGCCAGAGAAACCTTTTAAGGAGTCCTGTCCCTGGAGAATTCCCTCCACGGTGCCCACTGGTAGCTCTAATCCTGCATCCTGCTGCCCAACACACCTCCCCTTTCTGCCTGCTAATTCCAGCCTGTGAGCAGGCCCTGCTTCAGAGCAGTCCAGGCAGGGGGACAGGGCCCTGCCCACCCTAGTGGGGTCCTCTCAACATTGCCAAACTTATTTTCCATGTATTGTGTATATGTGTCAGGGAATCTCCAAATTAATGTTGTTTTGGGGGTCTCTACAGGAGACTCCGAGGTACCACTTCCCCCAGAGTCTCTGAAGGAGTCTGTTACTTGGCAGTAGATCCCAGCAAGCACTCTGGGATGACTCTTAGCTATATCTCTGAAGATCAACCTGAGTCTCAAGAATCCATTAGATTCTGGAATCTCCTTTGACACCCCTCCCTCCTTAGTAAATAAGATTATTCCTGTTTTGTGAGGTCGTCTGAGATGAGATGGGACCACCTCTGCCGCCCTGCCTTTCCTTACTTCCTCCGTAGCAAGAGCCTCCTTCCCTGCTCCATGTCTAGGGTTTAGCAAGGTCCTTCCCCGCACCCCCTGAAAGGCAGATCAGGCACCCCACTGTTTCAAGTCCTTGGGAGCAGGACCTCCCTCCTCCCCACCTACGCCTTCCTTCTCCCTCAGTGTTGTCTCAATAAAATGTGTATTCTTTTGTGTTTTCTAATTGACATTTTCAATGAAAAACAGCTGAAGGCGTGAGCCTCATTTCTGCGTCACCCTCATCCCCTGGGGTCTCAGTACCTCTGCTGGGTGTTCAGATCTGAGCAGAGCTCACAGCTCCTGTTGAGATCCGCCCCTCGTCATCTTCCTTGTCAGTGGTTCTCTTCTGGAGCTGTGGCAGCCCTGTGCAGGCCTCTGTCCACTCCTTCACCCCTCGGAAACCTTCAGCTCTCCCCCAGTGACTTCTGCCCTTGGCCTGTCTAGAGCCCTTGATGAGGTGTTAAGATTTGCTGGCATCTTGGGATTTGCTTACTTACTAGACTGTTCTGGATTCCTCTCCCACTCTGTGACTTCCTCACATGTGCCCCAATAATCCCACAGTGCTCTTGAGACAAGCCCTACCTACCTCCAAGAGCCAACAGTCTGTCATCCTCAGGACTCCCTTTTCCTCCTCACCTTGGCCTTGTTACTACACCCCCCCC